GAGATTATTTTTAATGGATCGGTGTTAGACTGGGCTGACTAGAGAAACAAATCCAGAGACACTCATGTGTGTAAGAGAGAGCTTTGTATCAAAGAGCATTTGAATACTGAGAAAACATCCCAGCCCAGTCCAGATCAAGTGCATACGTCTGCTATTAATCCATCTGTCTGATACTAGCCCATAAATTCCTCTTCAGATTCACGTAGCCACTCCCAATGATGACGAATGCAGGAAGATCACAGGCCAGTGGGTGATCCAGTGGATCCAGTGGCAATGGAAGCATCTCAGTGCTGGTGTGGGTCTTTCCCGGTGGTTCCTGCAGCTCTCCACGTGTCTCAGCCACAGGCAAGTAAAGCAGAAAGCGTGTGCTCCATCTCCAGGGGGAAAGAGAGGAAGTTCCCAGAATCCTCATGAGAAGGCTGCGCCCACAAGGAGGCATCATTAGGCTGGGACCTGACTAAGGCTAGACTCTACCCCTCCACCCCTATCCAGTTCACATGAAATTACCACAGGATCCATCAGAGATAAGAAGCCCTGGTGGTGTTGTGGGGAACTCATTGAGTTGCGAATAGGAACATCAGGGGTGTGAACTCACTGGTTGCTCTAAGGGAGGAAGATGAGACTGTGTACTCTTGTGAAGATTCAAACGTCTTAGAAACCCAAAGGGACCATTCTACTCTACCCTACAGGTCCCTACAGGTCACACTCGACCAGAAAGGCTGTGAGCGGCCGCAGAAACAGATAAAGCAAAATTGGGAGAACAAAGAGAATTGCTTCGCAAGACAGCATAGGGCAGGAATGAGAGAGTGGAAGTCAGACTCCCCTAAGGATTTGGATAGAACTGGTGAGGGGGCACCTGTGCTGATGAACCCCCTGCAAGTAGTACTTCCTGTAAACAGTGCTTCCCACTGGTGGTGGATCCCATGCACAGCAGCAAGGCTGGGGTTCTGGTCTTGGTGAAGGAAGAGAGCAAACAGCTTAGGGAGTTTTACTGGCATACAAAATCTACTTTTAAAAAAAGTTGGAAGAATGAGGAACTGATGCCAGGGGCTTAGGTAGAGAGCAAATGTTTTGAGAATGATGAGGGCAATGAATGTACCAATGTGCTTTACACAATTGATGTGTGTATGGATTGTGATAAGAGATGTACGAGGCTCTAATAAACGATAAAAAAAAAGTTGGTTTCTGGTCTTAGAGGAACTGGGGTCCTAGCTGGGTAAGAGACTTGGTTCTAGAGAAGGAAGAAGAAAGGAATAGGGCCTGCGCAGCAGCATATCTCCGTAGCTTTCTAGAAAGAGTCCCAGAGGGGAGGACTTCTCTGCTATGGCTCTATTGACGGTTGGGATGGATCGCTCTTAGATGTGGAAGCTGTGCTTTGCCTTGTAGGTCACTCAGCAACATCTCTGGTCTCTACCCACTAGATGTCAGTAGTATCCACCTCCAGTTGTGAGCACACACACACACACACACACACACACACACACACACACGTCTCCACGCATTTTGCCTCAGTTGGGCCAGAGAGTAGAGAGAATGGATATCAATGCCTTTGAGCACCGCTGGCCTAGGACCCCTTAAAGTTTTCTTTTCAGGGGTCTGACTTGATCCTAGGCAGGAGTCCAGTCGTTTGAGCATCTGCTGGGAGGCCAGGTCAGAGGTCGAGATGGGGAGCATTCCAGGCACAGCCAACCTTCTCTTTCATGGCTATCTTCGAGTGTGGCTGTTTAAAGCCGTCCCATTTCCTCCTTTCCTCTTCCTTATTTGGTGACGTGGTTGCCAGCGCGAGGGGACCAGGGAGGCTGTTTTCCTGTGACTTCCAGGAGGAGATGCTCTCTGGTCCATGCAATCTGTGTGGACTTCCGGCAGGAAATGGCACTCAAGGAAAAGTTTGATTAGAAGGAAACGGTTGGTTTGGTCAGTGGAAACGGGAAGTTGTTGCCAGAAGAAAGTCAGAGAAAATGCACTTTGCAGATGGGGGAAGAGCAGAAGAAAGTGGGGGGCGGGAACGGAGGGGAGGAGAGAGAGCTAAGGAGCCAAAAGGTCAAGCAGGTCAACAGGCCAGGGACCTTGCAGCCCCCTGTGGGCTTGACTGAGCCAGACGAGGGTGATGGTGCACTGTAGTGGGAATGAGTCATGTGGTAACAATGAGTCAAAGCTATTATGGTTGGTTCATGACAGGATTTTAAAATACACTGTTGTACTTTTCTAAAAGTGCCCTCTTTACTTAAATACTGCTTCCCAGCCTGTGTATTAAAGGCATATGACCACATTGTAGAATCCTCTTGCATAAGCAGAGAGACAAAGACGGAAAGCCAATGCGGCAGAATTTCCATGGTGGCCTGTTGTATTCTTTTCTCAAAAGAACAGTTTGTATACATGAGAATCAATTTTTTTAACTGCGTGACATTCACAGATGGATTGGCCATCACAGATACATGTTCGTGGGTAGGTGGCCTCATCTATGAATTTGCTCCCTGTCATGGATGGGACAATGGGTTCGATGTTAGGAGAAATACAAATGTGAATCAGGTAGACATTCTTCTCTTAATCTTATCATTTAGTACACATTTAAAACTCTGGGAATAAATGGCAACACAAGGTAGAAAGTTCGTCTCCCGCCCCCCCCCCACCCTTTTTTATCAAAAACTCTGGGCATACATGACTTAACACAAGGTAGAAAGTTGATTTTTTTTTCTTATCAGGCCTTAAAGCCGGGCACTATTCCTTCACGTTAGAGGAAAATACTATTGGGCATATTTCCGCCACTTCTGTCACAGCAGTATGCCTAATACTATTTTCCATCTGCCCTGGAGGAAGATTTTGGGTTATTGGTGAGGTTGAAGAAATATGCCTAACGCTATTTTAATCTGCCTTGGAGGAAGAGTTTGGGTTATTGCTGAGGTTGAAGAAAAAAATGTTTCAAAAAAAAGAAAGAAAAAATTGTTTCATCCAAAGGCTTGGCAGTGGTTGAAAACAGCAATCACTTCTTATTTTTTAAATAATTTGTGTTTACGTATCCAGAGTGGGGTAGACCCCCCCACCCCCCATTTGAGAATTCCTGTGCAATTTGTTCAGTGAGCAGGCTGCCCTCCTCGCAATGAGTTCAGATTCACTTACTTTGCCTTCTGTGAGTCCTTCCGGTGTTCTAGCTGCCCTAGCTCATCTTGCAGGGTGAGAGCCCTTTGAGGGTCGAACGACCCTTTCACAGGGGTCGCCCGATTCATAACAGTAGCAAAATGACAGTGATGAAGTAGCAACGAAAATAACTTTATGGCTGGGGGGTCACCACAACATGAACTGGATGAAAGGGTCGCGGCATGAGGAAGGTTGAGACCCACTGCTTTAGAGTAATTGTTGGCCTTTTGGTCTCAAGCGATTGTTTTTTAATAGAGATCGCTGGGTAATATTGTTTTGTTTGTTGCTGTGTCGCTTCAATAAAAGGTGGTTTCGGGATAGTTTGGGCTCAAGTTTTAAAGAGAATCTCAAGGGATTTAGAACAAGAATCCTTTTCTCTTGAGCCATTCTTAGTGACAGTATTGACTTTGGCAGCAACCATTTACCATTGCTCGGTGTCTGTGGGTCAGCTGGGCATGGGTGGGAACTATGATTTCTGGTTGTGGCAGCCGGATGGGGCTGTGCCTCTCCCAGCAGGTCTGCAGTCCCTGGGAGGAGCCTGCTGCACATATCTGTCATCCTCCTCAGACCAGCAAGTTAGCCAGGGCTTGTTGCTCTCCGCTGATGTCAGCGATACAAGAGGACCAATAGAAGTCACGAGGCCTGAGAAGCAGCCTAGCTCTGTAACTGCCGCTTCAGCTCCACTGTCATTGGCCCAAACCATGGTTCCGGGTAGAGTCCTCTGCCCACAGTGAGGTATTGGCAAGGAGGCAGGAAGGCATGAAAATAGACGTCATGGTGTGTGGTTACAGCTTGGTCCAACTTTGGGAGACAGAACTTCGGGGTTCCTCAGAGTAGCAGTTGAAAAACCGATAAACAGGTTTAAAAAATAGCTTCCCATTTTAACATATCACTACCTATCCCTTTAAATAGCCACTTTTTTCTCTTTTTTTAGAATAGCCACTTTTTAGCAAGAGATTATGAGGTTAAACTCAGGGAAATACCGTGCCCATTTAATTTTTTAAGCCTCCTTGGGGATCACTATGGGCCACATTTTCTCTTATTATTTGGGACATTTAGTGCCTATGCTCTGTCTTCCTCTCAGTGGTAACCAGTCCGCTTACCTCCTGGCATTTTCATACCCCTCCTTTCTCCCCATCAAAACCTACTTTGCAGATTAGAGCTGATCAGCCCATTCTTACGAGGCATGCTCTCTCATGCACTCACTACCATCGAGGTGATGCCGACTCATGGCACCAGGACAGGGTCGAACTGCCCCTCTGAGTTTCTCAGACTATAACTCTTTATGAGAGTTGAAAGCCCGGTCTTTCTTCCATGAAGAGGCTGGTAGTTTCAAACTGCTGACCTTGTGGATCGCAGCCCAATGCATAACCACAACACCACCTCACACGAGACATAAAAGACAGCTAAGAACTCAGCCCCAACAGCTCCTAGGACCATTTGTATTTGAACAGGGATTAGAAGGAAGAGACCCTGCAGACAGTCGACGCAGCAGTGACAAGTGTGGGGAAGGAAAGGGGCTCACGGCAGAGGGACAGGGAACATCTCCTAGGTCGCTACATGATTTCTTGCAAAAAGTAGTGAATCATGCCCTAAAAAATATATTATATTGAATTAGTTGTTTATTGTGTAATGAGTCTAGTCCGTCCTGCCTTTTTTGCATCTGTCTTTGTTGAGAAGCAAGGCCATCAATACAGCAGGCATTAGAAGGGAACCCTCTGAACTGTGTCAAGGTTAAGGATAAGTAAAACGTTACAAGTGGACACAGGATGGCAACAGCTGCACCACATTCTTGGTAGCAAGGACATTGAGAGCACACAGACAGACCGTGAGCTCAGTTTTCGCTGCTCCTGTGGGTGAACAGAACATCCTGATAGCAATTCTAAGAAAAACAGCAATTGTCTTCTGAAATACCCTTTTGTGGCGGAAAAGCCGATGGCTGCTGCAGGGGCGGCGGGGGGCTGTGGACGAATGTTGGAAGAAGACCGGGATCAGACCTATGAGAATGTCCTGGCTGAGATTCAGTCTTTCGAGCTGCCCATCGAAGCGACTTTAAGGTAGGCCTCATTTATGTTTTATTGTTTATTCTTGGGGGCAAGAAGGCATTCCGTTTCCTGTCTCTTTATGCTGTTCTCTGTGGCAGAATCCAAACGAGTCTTTGGGAAGTAGTTGGTACACCCCATCCCAAAGTTTTCTTCTCCCTAGAGGAGGTACAATAACTGAATAGCCCCCGCTTCGTGCACAGTCTGCTTGTTTCCTTCATGCATCAGCACAAGGCTGAAAAATACAGCTGAGATCCCAGTGATCCAAGAGGGTCTTGTGTCGTCTCCAAATTGATTTTCTGCCCCGTTGATATGAGATTTTGATGGTTTGACCTAAAATACCACTTAGTGGAAAACTTCCAGAACAATTAGACACCTCAATGAAACCAATTTATATTTGGGTGAACATGAAATGGAGTGAGAGAGAGAGAATATTTATTTGCATCGCTGCCCTTGTCTTAGTGTCTGTGATGACTTCTCTGATATGTATATTTTTATGACTACACAATCTCTAAAAATAGCTTCTTTGGTAATATGGGTATTATTTCTTTGCGCGGTTAAAATGAAAGCTCATGTATCTTTGTGTTAAAAGGTCGGCTTTTAAAATTTAATTCTCTCTGGTGTGCTGCCTGTATCTGACACCTATCACTGTGGGAAGATGGTGGCAATCGCTGAATGTGACAGTGACGTTCAGTAAATATTTGTTGACTAATATTTGTAGATCAAGTGAAAGGGTTTGCGTGTGTGTGGGTTGTCATCTCCTTATTCTTAGAAAGGCACCAGAGTGCTTAGAAATTCACTATAGATTGCATCAGGATAAATGTCTCCTAAGTATTTTAGCTTGATTTTGCATTCGACAAATATTTGAATCTCTTCACAGCGCCTAGTGTAAGCAACTTTGGGGCTTTTGAGATTTATTGGCTGACTGTCGGAGGCCTTGATAAAGATGTTGCAAAGCAACTATGGCAATATCAATAGTTCATGTGCCTTCAACTTATCTGGGTATCATGAGCAGCCCGTGAGGGATGGCAGGTATTTTTAATCAGAGGCAATCATTAACTCAAAGCTCGTTGCCATCAAGTCGATTCTGATTACCGTGACCCGAAAGAGCACAGTAGAGCTGTCCTGGTGGGTTTCCAAGACCGTAGCTTTTTATGGGAATAGAAAGTCTCATCTTTCTTCCCAGGACTGGCTGTGGTTTCAAACTGCTGGCCTTGTGGTTAGCAGTGCACCTTGTAACCCACTTTGCCACCAGGGCTCCTTTT